TCTGATTATTGTCAAATAGCTGCAGCATTGAAGCTGAAACACTTAAAATCAGAAAATGGACAGAACATGGTCTCTATAAAGAAAGTGAAAAAATTAAAAGGCTGAAGGTTAAATGAAGAAAGTGAATGTTTAAATAAATATCTGCGCTGCAGTAACATCGGGCCGATGGAAAACTCACTGAGCAATGATTAGAGAATATCAAGATTAGGTTTATGTTTCTGAGAATTTCCTGAGAATTTCAGAAGAAGGTTTTGGAGGAAGGGCTGAGAGAATATTTACCCTGACTCAAACCCGGGTCGGGGATCTTTAAAGGTGGTGGTGCGCGAGTTGTGGTCCACAAAATATCGGACTCCCTCGGCGGTGTACTTCATCTCCCAGCCCGGGGGCAGGGGGTGCTCCTTGATCATCCTGAAACAGGGAGAGGGCAGTGAGCACGGTCCCAGCCGCGGGGGGGCCCCGTCCTGGGAATTAAAGTAACACACGTCCCCCAACAGCCTGTGGATCTGAAGAAAGCCCAGGACAACAAAACTAAACCTGCGCTGGCCGTGGTGGAGAGGCCTTCACACGAGGGGCACAGATAAACTTCTGTTCTGAAGAACACTGACTCACAGAAATACTGTTTATGTGGCCACGAGTTTCTCAATAACTTTGTGCCTATCATGTATTTTCATTACGATTAAATCAAAGCAGGTTTTCAAAAAATAAATAAAAATGCAGATGTGATTTCAGGTGATTCCTGACTCCTCCCAAAATATCCGTTTGCTCTAATTTTGTAGTTTTGTTTTTGAAAGTTTTATTTCTGTACCCTGATCCTGTTCTCCTCAGAAATGTTTGAATGCTGATTCAATCGTGTAAAGCTCTTTGTAACTGTGTTTTATTTATTATTTTATTAACTTTGCATTGTCTTATGTTGCTTCTACATGTTCTTGTATCTCGTCTTTTGAGAAGTGCAGAAGATTTAGACTCTTTTTCAGAACTGACATTGAAGCGTGTAGCTACAGGCTTCACACTGGCACCAACGTTTCATTGTTTAATTTACAGCCAATAGAAATGAATATTCTTTCATCCAGAAGTTCAACAGAGTCTTAAAGAATAATGGAAACTCCTTCAGAACGTCAGGACGTGTCAAAGAAGCTCCTGCTGCTCTTCGCTCTGTGACTCGTCGAACGTGATGTGAACAGATGTGACCTTCGTCTCCATCTCGCTCGGAGTAAAGACGCATAACACGTTTAAAACCTAACCCTGAATTATGTGTGAGAGCGAAAGAGTTACAGCTTCAACTGAATGAGTGAGGTGAGAGGAAAATAAGCTCAGGAAATATAAAAGTCAAAGAAACACGAGGGGATGTCGGAAAAATGGTCAGAAGAATGAGCAGCGGGTCACAGATCAGAATAAACAGCTGTGACTGTTTGCAGAGACGAACTAACAAGTTAAAGCCGATTTCACGTTTTCCGTCATGTTTTGCTCTGACATCATTTTTTAAATTTCCCTTGACTGCGTCACAGAATCTGCCTTTATTTCTGACTTTGGGAGAGTGACTCTTTAAATCCCACAATGCACCTGGTTTCCTGATAAGCAGGAAAAGTCACCTGATTATATCATCACATGAAGGATTCTGCAGGTCTGTCGTCATAGTAACCATGTATGGTGATTATGTCCTCTTGTGCACAAGCAGACACTCAAAGCAATGCACCATCTAACAAGCAGGCTCATGCACGCACACACACACACACACACACACACGCACACACACACACGTTAACACGCCTGCTGGCTCAGTGTCTCACCCTTGAGTCCGCGGGTCGTCCCACTGCGTCGTCCGAGTGTTATGGTTGACAAAGTAAATTCGGCCATTATCCTGACGCTTCTCTGCGGACACAGAGAGAAACAACGGAAAGACAGTTTTACGGCAAAGTGAGAGGATTTAAAAAAACTTGATGATAAACAGAGAGCGATGTAAGAGATCACCTGAGTGCGGAGAAAACCAGATCACACCAGTGTGACAGAAAACCAGCGAGTCTGTGTGATATTTCACTGCAGCTCGATCCAAATACCTCACCGGGGTAAAGCCGAGTGTGTGTGTGTGTGTGTGTGTGTGTGTGTGTGTGTGTGTGTGTGTGTGAGTGTGAGTATGTGAGTGTGTGTGTGTGTGTGAATATGGAACAAAAATGTGAACAGGGATTCAAGATTTCATTTAAAAAAAAGCAACAAATAGTTGAAAGTTGGAAACAGAATTAAATTGTATGAAGGTTTTTTAAGTGTGTGTGTGTGTGTGTGTGTGCTCTTTAGGCCCATGGTTGAGAGAGAGAGAGAGAGGGAGAGAGAGAGAGTTGCTCGTGCCCCCGTCCTCCTCCCTCCGTGGCTCTGACATCTTTTTCTCATTAACAGGAGTGTGTGGAGGGCCCAGAAACAGTAGTGCTCACATTGCAGCTCTTACTTTCTTTCTCTCCACCCCCACTTTACTATCCAGTCAAACCCACCCCCTCCACCCCCAGTTTCT